TCTTTCCCTCCTTCTTCCCTTCTAGCTCTTTCTTTCCCTCCTTTCATTCTTTCCTTTTCCTCTTTTCCTCCTTCTTCCCTTCTCGCTCTTTCTTTCCCTTCTTTCCTTCTCTTTCTTTTCCTCTTTCCTTCCTTCTTTCCTTCTCTTTCTTTTCCTCTTTCCTTCCTTTGTTCCTTTTCTCTACTCTCTCTCTCTCTTTCCTTCCTTCTTTCCTCCTTCTGTGGACCAACTCTTCTCTCTTCGCTTCCCCCCCCCCCGCTGGCTGGGGAAGGGGAGGGGAGGCTTTTGAAGATGCCTTCCCCCCCCCGTTTGCTTCCCCTTCTGACATCACTTCCAGTGATGTCAGGGGGTGTTCCATATGCTTATGAGCTATTATGCTAATAGCCTAGTAGTTCATTAGCATACCATATGCTAATGAGCTCCTGCCGCTCTTTTTCTATGAAAAGACCCCTGGGGATCCCAATCTACAACAAGCAGACATTTGTCTCCCTACAAATGTATACTTTACGAATGAAGAAACAGCAAGATAACCACAAAAACAGTAATACAATACACAAAGCTCAAAAACTACCATAAGAAAATGAAGTCGAAGACATACCAAATTCTCTATTGAGGACTGAAATTGTCTAATTTCACGGAGAGTTTCATTATCTCTCTTCACTTCATTTACATACTGTGCCAAGTCCTAAAATACAGAAGGTGAAAAGGGAAATTTGAAAAGGCAACTTTGCATATTAGAGCAGAAGCAATTATTTTAATCACTCAGGACATGTATAGGCTGCATCTTCTCCAGAGACCTGCTCAAAGCTGGTTGCAAAGTAAAAACCAACCAAGAAAAGCCTAAAAAATAAAAGCATAAACATCATCAATAAAAGCCAGCAACATAAAACAATACAATCAGCTCACAGCCACACGTAATTCCAGAAGTTATAAAAACACTAGCAATAAAATAACTGTAATCATAAAAATGGCACTAAGAGCATTTGAGTAGGATGCAGGCCAGGAATCAGCCAAAAAGTCACACTATAAAGACAGGTGCAATCAGGAAGGTAACATCAGATAAAACTGTCCCCTGATTTTTGAAGCAGCAGAGCAAGCCGTGAAGCAGAGCTTGGTTGCTGGTATAAGAGTGTGGGGAGAGAATTTCCCAGATTTCTTCTTTCTGCAATCCTCTGTGCCACATGCACTTTGTACAGAACTTCCAATAGGGATGATGAGAATTTCCATAATTTTTATTCCCTATAACCAAGCTGTTAATTCAAAAAATAAAGTGTAGAAAGAATGCACAAGGCAATGTACAATCAAGATGGATGTGTATGTGATCAACATGCAAGGACCAATGTTCCAGATCTGCATTATGCTGCATTGCAGGTAATATTATTATACACATGTGATGTACAACAGCGATTCAGTCATGAATTATGAAAAACTGCAAATATATATTTTGAAGGAAATTGTCAGGCATGATCACAGCATACAGGGAGGCAAAAAGAGAAGGGAAATATTTTGCACATTTTTAATTTTTAATTTCTCTTTTGAAGAGATCCCTCTACATTTTAAAATGTGTACTGTTACTCTGCCTCTTCATTAGACACACATACCTTCATTGCATCAAGGGCAAGCTTTAAGTTGGCTTTCTCCATTGGGTCAGTTGTGTGTTTCACCAGCTCCTGTATCACAGAATACATGGTTATTTCTTATGCCAGCTAACTGCCATTTAAAACAGTCAGATAAAGATTCATTTTTTTCACTCAGATAAAGATTCATTGTTTTCAGTGAGATAAAGATTTGTTTAAAAACAAGCTCATTTTGCCTTAGGCCAAAATCAGTGGACTGAAACAATTATTTGCAGAAATCCAAAATAGTATACATAGGACACAATATTATCCAGTGGTAAGGAATTATGGTAAAAACTTTACTCCAAAAGACTCTCTCTGTATTTCACTCTGGCTCACTTTAATGCTTTACCATTAGCTTTTTCGGAAGGAAGATATACACATATCCCTTACTCTCAATATGTTTGCCCCTGCCCACTAGACATGGTTGAATCAGTAGATCACATATTACTGAACTGCCTTCTGTATAGGGACTTTCAGTTTATATACATAACTCCAATCTTATCAATCAATATGCTTACTAAAATCCAAGATCAGCATATATATCAACAATTATGTAAACATATCTATTTGTGAGAAAATATTATTTCAAGTCTCCCTTTCAACAAATTTGAAAGACATTTACTATTTTAAGACATGGGTTTGGGCTAGGTGGAAATCTATTACAACTCTTAATATTAGTTTCATTCCATATTTTGACATATATATTCTTCTCACAGACATCTTCATCAATGTAGGCCATAATTGTACACATCTGAAATTACTTTATATCCCAAAAGCTCACAGTCTGAATTCCCACCATTTGCACCCTTTCTCCTTCAAGTTCTACTGTTACAGTATAACCAATACTACTGAACTACCTCCCGTCTATCTATATACATAAAAGAAAGTCCCCTCACCATAAAATCAACGCCCAGGCCAAACCGCTGGACCTAGAAACACCAAATTCAGGGAGAGCACTCCTACCATGATGTAGGTGCTCACTAAGAAGGGATTTTTAGAAATTTGACCCCTAAGTGAGTCAAAAGGGGTAAAATGTGCTCCCCTCATTGATTCCTACGTGGCTGCCAGGCAGCTGCCCCCATGCACCCCCCCCACTCTCTGATTGGTCAGCTGCAGAGCTCAGTGTTCTGAGGTTAAAAGAAAAACAGTTACAGGGGATTGCAGAGAGCTAATGACCAGGAAATCAGGAGTGGCCAACAACCACCTGTGAGGTGAAGCAAAGCTGCTGGCCCAGCCTCTCTGATGGCTTCCAACACACTCCCCCCACCTCCTACACCTAACAGGCAGTTGTCTGCTGGGGCATGCTTAAAGCCACGAGGGAGCACACCCCAGCGGTAACGCATTAGTGATCCTGCTGGCCCCGCCTCCACAGTGACTTCTAATACTCTTCCCCCCTCCCCCTCCTACACTGGACTTCTAATTGCCTGTCAGGTGTAGGAGAGGAGGTGGGATGCTTACAGCCACTGGGGAGGTTTGCTCAGCAGGATTGCCTTAGCACTGCTGCAGGCCCAGTCTCCCTGATGCCTTTAAATACAATCCCCCCCAACACCAGACAGGCCAGTGTATGTCAGGTGTAGGAGCAGGACCAGGGTACTTTAATCCATCAGGGACGCCACCCCAGCAGGATCACCTTAGTGATGCTGCTGGTCCAGCCTTTCTGATGGCTTCCAACATACTCCCCCACCTCCTACACCTAACAGGTGGTTGTCTGTCAGGTGCAGCAGTGGTTACAGGGTGCTTAAAGCCACGAGGGAGCCTGCCCCAGCAGTAACGTCTTAGTGATCCTGCCAGCCCTGCCTCCACAGTGGTTTCTAATACTCCTCCTCCCTCCCCGTCCTACACTGGAAAGGCAGCTGCCTATCAGGTGTAGGAGAGGAGGTGGGATGCTTACAGCCACCGGGGAGGTTTGCTCAGCAGGATTGCCTTAGCACTGTTGCTGGCCCAGCCTCCCCAATGCCTTTAAATACAACCACCACCCCCAACACCAGACAGGCCAGTGTCTGTCAAGTGTAGGAGCAGGGCCAGGGTATGAATGTTTATGGGGAGATAGTAAAGGGTATTTCTAGGAGCCATTTCAATGCGAGC